ATTGAAGCACTTAATGGTTGCTTGGAATTAGCAAATATTCCACATGGAATGTTAAGAATATATTGCTTATTTATGTGCATAGGCACTAGATATCTCTTCCCCCCTCTTCCTTTTTAATATTGATTTGAATTCTAGATTTCAGTGTGTTGATTCCATTTGTTATTTTGACGGGTAGAATGTATAGCTTTCACAAATCTCACGGATGTCCTAAAAGTGAAGGTGAATATAATAGTTTCTGGTCCTGCAAATATCTCCTCACTTTAATGGGTTGCTAAGAGAGCTTTTCCTTTCTAAATGAACTGAGGAAGTGTTTACAAGAATGGTTTCCACTGAGTATTAGCAGATACTCTAGGTACGACTAGGCGATTTGTATTAGAAGGACCTTGATAAAGAGTTGTATGACATGTATTTTGGTTTGTGCTTTGTCAGGGAATTCTAAAGAGCAGGTAAAGAGGCGGGATTGAAGCGTGAGACCGTTACAAATGCAAGCAGGAAATATCATTTTGAATGAGTTCAAATCTTTAGGAGCAAATGAATTGCATCCTAGGTTAATGGATGAACTGGCAGACAAGTTGGCCAAATTCCAAAGGAATATTATCTTTAAGAAATCCTAGACAACCTGTGAATATCAGATGACTGGAGAAGGAGAAATGTGGTCCCTCTCCTCAAAAGGGGTAAACAAAGATTCAGGAAACTATAGATTAGTGAATCTGACGTGGATTCCTGGGAAGATTCTAAAACAGATCATGAAAAAAAATGATTTGCACTCTCTTTCAAAATAATGTGATAATTCTCAAAAAAATTAGCATGTTGTCAAGAACTAATCTTGGAGGACTAACTTTGTGACATTTTTTATCTGTTAAATTTCTTAATAAAGTGTGCAAATTCTATAGACTTCATGTGTCTTGCTTTTAGCAAACATAACCATGTTTTTCCCCAAATAATTTTATTAGAGATTACAGTTAAAAAGAATAAAAAACTATACAAACTACAAAAACATAAAAAGAAAAGGAAGAATATAGCGTGAAAAAGAAAATAGAAGAAACTTCCTCTCTCGTCCCAGCAAGTACACACAATTCAGGAAAATCTATTGCCATCTCTTAAATTAAAATATATACTCTGTTCACCCCATATCTCATCTTAGCTATAAACAACATCCATCGTTGTCATGAATTCCTTATTAGCAAATGTCCAGTAGGAGTTGTAGGTATAACTATCTTAATCTCTTGATCGACTAAGCCAACCTTGTATTCCTTTCTTAAACTTTTAAAAAACTCAATTCTTGACCTCTTCAAGTAGAATCTTGCATCTTGACTTTTTGTCATCTTATTTAATCCTTCCCCCCACCCCCAAATCTTTCCAAACTTTAGCAAGTCTCTTTTGTACATCTCATAAGAGAAATTTGTGCTTTTTTGTTACTTCTCAAAAAAACCTTCAAAACTTTAATAGACCTGTTTTGTAGGCCCAGCCAAAAAAAGGGGGGGGGGAATCCATCTCTCTTTTCTGGTTTGATATTCTGGTATATCTTCTTTAGGTATCAGGCATCAAGGGGTTAAGAGTATTTGGATAGCACAGTGCAGTAGTGGATTTCGCTTACCTTCGCTACCGGTTCAGAACTGTGAGCGCATGCATGCGCTTGCTTTACTCGCGCACAGTGTTTCTGCGCATGCACAGAGCATCCATGATGATATCCGGGCAGGTGGGCCTAGCCTCCCAGTAGAAAGCCACCACTGGTACAATGAGTCCAGAATGGAACTGTGCAGACAATTTTGAAGGCTTCTCGGGTGGCACATGTAACACCACTGTTACATGAGCTATCCTGGCTGCTGATCTGCTTCCGGATGTCATTCAGGTTGTTGATCATTAGCTTTAAATTCCCTGAAAGAGAAGCTGTTGGCTGGAGGTGGCTAGTGTAGTTACAGAGAAGCCACTACCACCCCCAAACCTCTACTCTTTTTTAGTTTGTTTTAATCTTTTGCAATTTTAATCTGGTTTTATAGTTAGAATTGTTTTTAATCCATGTCTTATTATGTTGTAAGCCACTTGGAGTCGCCTCAGGTTGTGACATGACATGAGCAGCATATGAATTTGATCAATAAATTAGAGCATCATTCTGTTTCATTTAAAAGTTCATTATATCCTTTTCTTTATCTCATTACTTGCCACATTCATATCCACATTCAGATTAATATCAAACTTATCTTGAATCTTTTCTTCTTCTTTCATTGCATCCTTAACAGTCCATGTATTCATCATTTCCAATAATGTCAATATTTTTCAAGTATTCAATTTTTCATCAAAAAAAAATCTCAGAATATTTCTCGTCTCCATTCTTTTGTTAGCCTCTAGCTCTCCTCTAGTGTCCAACATTCAAAACTCCATTAACTTGTTTGTAGAAAGAAAAGGCAAACAATGACAATTTCCCATGGGAGGAATCCTTCCAACAGTTTATAAAATTGTAATTCCAACTCCACCTGTCCTTAATTTGTTGTTAAACTTTGTAAAATCTATATTTTAAGCATCCTTTTGCTGTTTAATTTGAAAAGATAATATTTTTCAAAAGCTTTTACAATCATATTTTTAAAATTGTCTAAAGAGAAGGCAACTCATCTAGCAAATGCAGTATACCTTATTGATCTGAAGGGTCTTAATCTTTAATGCAAATTCAGAGTGATTAAGCAGTGAGGCTTGGTTGAACTTAGTTCTTTAAAAAGGTTGGGTTGATGACCATGAACAAAGATGGTTCCTCCCTCGATTTGCAGATGCTCAACCCATAAGCATACTGTAAAATGACATTCCTATGACTTACTCATGAGAAGCTGCTTTGTGGACCAGCTATCTCAAGTTCTCCCCTTACCATGGGGAGATATCAGTGTCCTGGCTCTTGTAACAATTTTCTGTTACAAAAAAAGGGACACAAGCTACCGATAGCCATGACTTTCAACCAGAAGTCAATATCCATTACATACTAATTAGGAAACTGGGCAAGCCGAATGGCATGATAATTAAATAGATATATAAGTGTCATGAGAATCTTACTCAAAAAATGCTTCTTAATGGTTGTTCATCAATTTGGAAACAGGTAGCAAGTGGGATTCAATAGAAGTCATTCTTGGGTGTATACTCTTCAGTATTTTCTTTCATTTACTTGAAGAGTTTGAGGAAATGCTTGTCAAATGTTCAGCTGACATAATACTAAAAGGGAGAGTTAATAATTTACAGGAAATATGAAATTCAAAATGATAGGTTGGAGAAATGGGCTCAGAGAGAAAAGCAAAAGATGTTTCATTTAGGAAACAAAAATAAAAGTTCTCAGGTGCAGGATAGTTGATACCTGGTGTGTTAATGGTATTTTTGGAATATCAGTGGATTACAGCATTACCAAAACGGCAAATCAAAATATAGACTGCATCAGAAGAACTATTTTCAAAGCACAAGAAATAATTGTTCCATTTTATTCTGCTTTGTTCAGACCTGACATCCTCGGCTGGCTCTAGTTCCATATTATGTCTCACTTTTGAAAACAGTTCAGATAAATTGGGACATGCAATGAACATAAAGGGGTCTAGAAATTGAGTTCTATCAAGAGCTGGTTATGTTTAGCCTTCAGAAATGGTAATTGAAGGAATATTCTTCAAACACCTGAAAGATTGTCACGCAGAAGATTAATAATTTCTGCCTCATTCAGAATGCAGGTCAGAGAATAATGGATTTAAGTTGCAGGAAGGCAGATTCTGATTGAATAGTATGGGGTTTGACAATGGAATTATTTATCCAGAGAGGCAATTTCCCTATTTCCCTTTCATGAGATATGTTGGTGCAGATGCTAGGCAGTCATCTACTCGGGTGATTTAGTTTAGATTTCTGCCCTGAGTATGGGATCACTCAATGGTTTAGATCGGGGTATCAAACTCCTGATCTGGCCCATGGGGTGCTTAGATCTGGCCCGTGGGACCACTCTGGAAGCAGCGAAAGACCAGCCGATGGTGCCTCTGCCAGCAAAAACAGAGCTCAGGAGGGCCACATGCAGCCTCGCAAGCTTCGTGTTCACTGGCAGAGGGTTGCAGGAGACCGTTGCAGCCGAAAACGGAGCTCGGAACCCTGTTTTCGCTGGCAGAGTACTCGGTTTACCTCAGGCACCCCAACACAAGTGATGTTGAGCTGACGATGCCCACCCTGGCCATGCCCCCCGCCCTCCCTGGTCAAACACAACCCCAATGAGGCCCTCAATGAAATCGAGTTTGACACCCTGGTTCAGATGATCCTTTCCATTTCTATTATTCTATTCTTTTAGGTGGAGTTCATAATTGTGTTAAACCACTACGGCTTGGTTTCTGGTTAACATGATTCAATAATTAATCAAAATGGTTTGTAAACCACAGGTTATAGCTTAATAGGTGTGAATTTAATCAGTTGTGAGTTAATAAAATGGCCAGATTTCCACACTGTGATTTCAGATAGCTTTCCAGAATTGTGGGGAAGAGATTAAAGATAAGTATGGGACCAGCTTACTTACCAAAAGCTTCATTCATATCCCCAGTCTGACCCTAGTCACCCAAAATCAATTGAAAATTACATTGCTTGGAGGACTGATTTGTGACTCCAGCTATTTACAAGGTGTCCAAGCTGTATGACTTGCTTAGTGTGATGTCTCAAATTCAAACTGTGTATGGCTTGCTTATTATGATGTATCAATCAGTAACATATCTGAACCAATGGAAGCTTTAAATAGATTCTGATAAAGTTATATGATTGGTAGATTGAATTTCTATGGCTGAAAGGATTAATGTTAGAAATAACTGCCTGTGAATAGTACCTAAGTCAGCAGAGTAAGTAACATCTGATAATATTCACTTAATAACAAGATTACTGTGGTATCATTTTAAAGATTTTCTCAGCTATACTAGAGTCCTTTGAACCTTTTCTATCATACAGAGAATCTCTCTCTTCTTCTGAATAGAAAAAAAATCCTAAATGCTGACTTTGTTTTCTTGATGCAGGCACTGCAGGCTACTGGAGAGCCGAATTCACCAAAAATATGTATGAACAAGGAGCTTGAAAATTGCACAGTTGAACAAAGGCTTCAGCATGGAGAAGATGAAGATCAAGCAGTCATGAGCCATGACTCCTCCTCTTGTACAAAAACTGGAAACATGACAACTTGGCAGAATGGCTTGGGAAATGCCACCTCTGTTATCTGTATAGTAATGGATAATAAAGAATCAGGGAGCAATACTACCTCATTATGTCATAATGGGGGGATCAGCACAAATAACAAAAATGGAAATAACAATCAGGACGATAAAACCAGTCCTTCCAAAATAATGCATTTTTTCCCCACTCCTCGTAAGAGGTCCAGCTCCAATGTAGAACGGCCTCGTTCGGTTATAGTTATGGGGAACTCGTCGACATGGAATGCTTTGTCTTCCCTTAGAAAAATGGGATCCTTCAAGAAGTTAAAATCATCAGTTCTCCAAGGAATTTCAGCCAAAGAAGATCCGGATAGCTTAAAGGATAGCCTGTCAGAGAACAAAACCAGGAAGTACATTCCAAACAATACAACTGTGAGAGTTCAGACAAACAGGTATTCTTATTCGGGGCCTTTACATGACCGCACCACAGATAACACGGTGGTTTCTGATAATTCTGATGGAGAGGAAGATTCCTTCCTGAGGAACACGCATCGATCACGCAGCATCAGACGTGCTTATGCAACTGGCCGTATAAATTTATTAGATGGCGATCAAACCCAGGACCCACAGAGCAATGCCAAAATGGTCTCCTCTGTCCTGCAGGAATCCCAGATTTGTGAAATTGTAGGAAAAGATCCAGAGTGTCCCAAAGTGATTTATAGGAGGAGTAAAAGCAGCGATAACCTGAATTTTCTCAAAAAGAGCTCGTTCAAAAGGAAGTCGACCTCAAACCTCACCGACCTCAAAGCTGTAAACGAAAAGCCTTTGCTACCAAGAACCACAAGTATGTCGTCAACTGACTCAGACAAAACCAACAGGAACTCGGAGCGGAAATCAAAACGTTGGAAGAGCCCAATTAGAGCGAAGGATTTTGACAGAGTTTTGAAACTTGTCAGTAACGTAACTGATGGTGCTTTGAAGAAGGACTGTTCTAGGACTGATATTTCTTCCCCCGGTGAACAGAACCAAAAGACAAGACCAAACAGCAGGCTCCACGAGGACTATTCCCGCAGGGTTTCCAGCAGCACTGAGAATGAGAGGCGGAAGTGTCTGCCATCCCGACGTCACCCAGCTTCAGCTCCTGCCAGGTTCACCATCCAGCGCTCTGAGGATGACTCTGCTGGTTCACCATTTGCATTAAATGTTGATGCTACAGGCCGTAGGATGTCATCCTGTGAGCTTTCAGACTTGGTTTGTTCTCCACCTCCACTTCAGAACCCTGGGTCAATTCCTGATGAAGTTTTCCATGAAGATTTTGATGGGTCAAAAAACTCCAGCCCATTTACATATAGCACTGAGCCCCCCGACCAACCTGTTAGACCCACCGTTCCCAAGCCTCAGAGTCTTAGTGCTGAAAGCATCAAGTGCAACATGGATGTCCATTGTCCAGACCGGTACAGTACCCTGTCGCTCAGCTCAGTGGAAAGTGAGGGAAGAGGGGAGGGGTCGTCTGCCAAGTTGGGGAAGAGTCCTGTTTGCTTCCAGGATTCTGTGCAAGCCGTCTACTATGATGATACAAATGAAGACAGTGGCATCAGCAGCCATTCTCAGCTGAGTCTCAACTTAGCTATGAGTGCTGATGAAAAGAAGGAAGAGGTAAGAAGGAAAGTAAGCACTTTTTAAAACAATCAGTAATGCTTTATATGGTTGTCCTGTGGCTCCAGCTGTCTTGTGCTTATCTGTATTTTACCTTTCGTAGAATGCTTTCCTTTATTTATGCAGAAATAAATCCCCATGGATAGAACTTTTAAAAAACAAAAGTAGCACCAATTAGTTTGCTTCCCTATACACAAGAATAACAACAGTTCTAGCACAAAGGTTGCTTATGGACCTTTTCAAGGACAGCTTTGTTGCATATAATAAGGTTAGACACTTGGGGCAGGATCAAGACCAAGCAGGTCTAGTGAAGATAGCTGGATTCTTGACAGAAAGCATTTAGTGTAAATTACATGTCTGTGTTGATGGTAGTAAACTGATAACTGATCTGGCAACCAGCCCTAAACTTGTTAAGCTTATAAATGCACAATGTATATGTGAATATCAATATAGCATATATGGCCTATATTGTGTTTAAATGGCAATATATGTTGGTAAATGATTTGAATATGCATTGGGTAGCAGTAAGGATACCATTATTTTCTACCATCAATTTATAAAGTATCAACTGGGATGTAATGCAATTATTATGATTTTTGTAAATTTTCTTGTTTCTTCCTTACATTTTGCTTATTTCTTTCTCAGCAGCCCTAATTTATACAGCGTCAAATAACTCATAATCATTAAAATGTTTAACATTTTAAGAGCCGTGGTCGCATTAAGAGCCATGGTGGTGTAGCGGTTAGAATGCAGAATTGCATACTAATTCTGCCAACTGCCAGCAGTTCAATTCTCACCGGCTCAAGGTTAACTCAGCCTTCCTTCCTTCCGAGGTCGATAAAATAAGGGCCCAGATTGTTGGGGGCAATATGCTGACTCTGTAAAACCGCTTATGTTTTATGTTTATGTTTTATTAAATTTATATACCGCCCTACTCCCGAAGGACTCAGGTACAAAATAAAATACATAGATACAAAAGTTAGAAACATAATTAAAACCAGATTAAATAATTTACCCCTTAGACAGGATCTGCAAAGCACTATGGTATATAAGTGGTATATAAGTCTTAGTGCTTTTGTTATTGCCATTTTGTATTAGGAAGAAAAGTGCTGTGGTCATTGTTTTTGGCTGCATCCTGAGAGGCACATAAGCAGCGTGTCCTGTTCGATTGAATTCCTAGCCCATCTAATCCAGCAGTCTCTTCTCACAGAAGCCACCCAACTGCACGGGAAGCCCCTGGTCTTCCAGCAGGTAGCCTTCAGAGACAATCACACTACCATCAAGGCTGATAGTCATGGATTCCCATGATTTCCATGAACTGATCCAACCCTTTCTTGAACCAGCCAAGCTACATCTCATGGTAGTGAATCCAAAAGTTAAATTACATGTGATATAAAAAGTATTTTCTTTGGCCTGTCCTGATGCTTCCAGGATTCAATTTCATTTGGTGACCTCTAGATCTAACATTTGGGAAAGGAGAAAATAGCTTCTCCTTGTTCACTTTATCCACACTGCCTTTGTATACCTCAGTGGTGTCTCCTCTTTTTCTTTTTCTTTTAGACTAAAAGGACCCAAATATTGCAGCCTTTCCTTGTAGGGAAACTGCTTCACCACCTCTATCATTTTATTTGTCCTTCTTACAACCTTAATCATGTCATTATAGATTTCAATACCTAGACTTGTATGTATCATTTGAGCAATCATTTTGATTTTTTAAAATGCAAATTTCTGTTCCTTGTGACTTTACAGAATGGCTTGAATTTTGAATTCAGAGCCTGTAGTTGCTCAAGATTTATGCTAGAAAAGACTTCAGTATCCTGTTAAAAACATTTTGCCCTTGTCCTCCAGTTACCATCTACAAGCTCTTGCCTTTTCAATGTTCTTGTAAAGTTTGAAAGCTGAAGCCTTTGCTATGCTAAATACGAGAAGTGTGTGGAAGAACAGGAAAAGGAAACTGGGTTAACAACTTGTGGCTTTTAACTTAACTCTTCTTTTTTATTTTGTTTCCTGTTTCTTAACTACCATTCTTAACTTGCAACATACGCTGACAGTTATGTTTCAGAAAGCTTTTAAAAGTTTCCATATAGACAAGCTTTTTTTCTCTTTCTTTCTTTCTTTCTTTCTTTCTTTCTTTCTTTCTTTCTTTCTTTCTTTCTTTCTTTCTTCCTTCCTTCCTTCCTTCCTTCCTTCCTTCCTTCCTTTTTCTTTCTCTCTCTCTCTCTCTCTCTCTCTTTCTCTCTTTCTTTCTGTGATTATAATAAAAGTACAGATTTCATAAACTTCTCTACTGAATTTAACAGCTCCATCACTTGATGCAGTAAAGAATTATATAAACTATTTTCTTCCTCCTGTTTGTAGCTATTCAGTGACTCTGTGTGGTGCCACATTTTAGATACTATCCTATCTTGGTTATTTAGAGTAGTTACCTATAACAGTGGGAAGACTGCAAGTTTATTCTAAAATGTTTGATGTTGTTGATACAAAATTATCTGGCTTTGGCTTGTCACATCTGATTTGTTGATTTATTTTTATCCCACTTTTATTATTTTTTATAAATCACTCAAAGTGATAAACATACCTAACACACTTTCCTTCTCCTATTTTCCCCACAACAACAACCTATTGAAGGTGCGTTGAGCTGAGAGAGTATAAGTAGCCCCAAATCTCCCAGCTGGCTTTCATGTCAATTTTTAAGTCTGTATCCTCACCAGTGACTCTGAACTGATAAACCAAAGACAGTAATGTAGACTTTATTTCCATAGTTTGGGTCTCATTGTATGAAAGATAAGACCACAGAATAATACTGAAAAGTTAATGGGTAACTTTTTTATACTGAACCTGTTTTATATACATTTATCTCTGATTCCCATGCCTGTTCTTCTTTGGAATAAACTTGAGCAGATAGATCAGAGATGCATAAATCAGATGGAATATTTATTTGAAATAGGAAAATGATAGAAGATGCACTTTGGATTAGAAGCTCCCAGGTTAGAATATCTGCTATGCTGCAGAAGGATATAATTTCCAACATCCAGGTAAAAGGATGCAAAGTATGGGATTTGGGAAAAATCAGTGCTCAACCGTTAAATCAATAATAGAACAATAAAATAATGTTTTTAGATTATAGTGTTTTGTGTTTAATACCGTTGTTACTGATTTAATGGAGAAGCCATAGTTGGAGTGAATCTTACTCCAGAGGGACTAGAAAACTGAAATGTGAGCTGAATTTAACTTAACACAAGTTAAGTAGTTAAGCAAAATTCAAATGTTAATCTGTGTTGGCTACACTTAATGCGCTGGTGTTCATGTAGGAAAATCAGCACGTTCATAATCAGTGAATCTATAAATCCAGATTTTTCATAAAACAGATGGAAAATGAAAGCCCTCCATTAATTTTATTATTTAACTTCCTTTAAAAGGAAAACTGTCCCTGTTGCTTTGGGGAATCAATCTATTTGTATTCTCAACATGCCCCCTAGTGGTATGCATGGAAGCTTGATAGGTTCAAATGTCAAACATTTATGATGTTCTGACATTTAAACCTTCTAATTTTCCAGACAATCCCTTTAAATATAGCATAGGGTCAGTTACTGCTGTTGAGAATTCAATGTTCCTGCAAAATTTTTCAATTCCCATTAAATTTACAGAATACTTTAATAAGAACTTCAAAAACACAACTAGATATATCATTAGATAAAGGTAAAGGTTCCCCTTGCACATATGTGTTAGTCGTTCCCAACTCTTAAGGGGTGTTGCTCATCTCCGTTTCAAAGCCAAAGAGCCAGTGCTGTCTGAAGACGTCTCTGTGGTCATGTGGCCAGCATGACTGAACACCAAAGGCGCACGGAACGCTGTTACCTTCCCACCAAAGGTGGTCCCTATTTTTCTACTTGCATTTTTTTACGTGCTTTCGAACTGCTAGGTTGGCAGAAGCTGGGACAAGTAATGGGACCTCACTTCATTATGCAGCACTAGGGATTCGAACCGCTGAGCTGCTGACCTTTCGATTTACAAGCTCAGCATCTTAGCCACTGAGCCACCGCATCCCTACATCATATTAGCTGTAAATAATTACAGGTGATGACTTAGAAATCAGGGGACTCTGAGTTCTAGTCCCACTTTAGGCATAAAGAACGGGCTGGGTGATTTTGGGCCACTCATTCTCTCTTAAACCAATTCATCTCACAAGTTTGTTGTTGTGGGAGAAATAGGAGGAAGAAGGAGCATTAGCACTATTTGCAGACTTGAATTATTTATAAAGTAACTCAGTAATAAAGGTGGATGAAAAATCCAGTACTAAATGAATAAAACAACATCTATACGTGTTGATTCCTTATAACAATTTATACGGTAAGCAGTATTACTGCTGTAGCATGCTGGCTTGTTTGTGGCTTGCCAAATGCTAATGATGAATGATAAAAGCAGTGTTTTGCTGCCAGGTCCTTCCTGTTTAGGGACCATGCCAGCTTATGGCACATGTAGAAAAAGCAGTGTCAGGGTTCGAAGTAACACCCCCAATGAAAGAAAACTCCGAGGCTAGAAGTTCCTCAAAGTTCCATTTTATTAGAGATGTCATATTGGCACATCTGGGAAAACCTGAATCTGAAAGCTTCCAGGTTTTTCCCGCCCAAAGGAAAGTCCAAGTCCCTGCCCAGCACCCACATATCCATTATATTGTTCAATCAATGCACCGTCCCAACTGGAGATACCTCCCAGTTCCAACCCTCCAGGTGCAGGGCAAAATGTCCTTGACTTTCTGAGAAAGGAATGTTATTATGACTACATATCACCCTGGCTCCATACAATTCCCGCTCTCTGTTTCCCACAGTAGTAAATGTGGCAGGCCTGAAGGCCCAACGAAAAAGATGGTTTCCAGGCCTGACAAGCAGGGCTTGTGTTACAATGCTGTTTTCATCATTCTGCCACTCCCCCCCCTGCAGATGCTGATTTGATAACCCAGGCTCATGATTAATAAATATAATGAAGTTTAATTTATAGAAAAATATAATCAA